AGGGATTTATAAATAATTATTATGAGTATTTTTAATTATATAAATCGGACTTTTAATAATGTTTATGTTGAAAGGTTCATGTACATATAGTTGGGAGGTTTTAATTTAATTATTTGTGATTATTTGTTAACCTTATATTGATTAAGGTTATATTTATTTGTAGGGTGTGTTCAATCAAGGTTTTTGAGGTTCTTTTTTGTGTGGTTTTTCTAGCAAGGATCAAGGTACGTTTAGGTGGCTAAATACCTTTGAAAGTAATTGGTTTGAATAACATGTTTTACCTGATTTGATTGGTGATTGAATTAAATTGATTTTGAAATAAATTATGTTTGAAGGTATTTATTTTAATAAAAGTATTCGAATGATTGATTTTTAAATCATGTTTTGAACGGTTTGGATTACTTATCGTGTTTAAATAATATTGGAAAGTATTGGATATTAAAAGGATTTATTGAACCATTGAATTATTATTATTAATGCTTTCTAAGCATGTTAGTAATCCCACTATGCGGATTTGGTTTATTGATAAGGCCTTGGACTTTGTATGACCGGGTCTTTCCTCAAGAATAGCCTTGTAATATAAGGAGACTAGCTGGGGGGGTGTGCACACTTGGGTGAGGAATTGGATTATAATGAATTGGTTCTTAATAAAGGAATTGGTTTTATTAACTATTATTTTGAATATTGAATCATTGGAATCGGTTTTGGAATAATGAGTTTTGAATTTATTGCATTAATTATTGGAATTGGTTTTAAAAGCATGTTTGCAAATAAATTTAGTTTACACTATCTTGCACTTATCGTACTTAGCATATTTTGCTAATCCGTATTTCTTATTTGTTTTGGTTCGCCCTGTTTACCGTAATGGTAAACAGTGTTGATTATTTTCAGGTGGAGTCATGAATGAGCATATGGGAGTCCAGGGATTTGCTTCACCTAATATAGGAATGTTGGTCTTGTCTTTATTTTTTGAGCACGCATAACAATGTTACTATTTTTATAAGTATTAATAAAGGAAAATTGAGGTTCCGCTGCAAGTTTTGTAGTTAAGTACTTTGAGTAGCCTTGCGTAATCACGCGGCGGTAATATGTCACGCCCAAGTCTATCTCTATGGTATAATTATACGTATTATACTAGTATTTTTGTAGAGGGAGATTTGGGGGTGTTACAATATTTGTTTAATTTTTTTTATAAATTATTTCCAAATCGTACATTTATAACATGAAATTTGCAATTAAAACAAGCAAGTATGGTAAACCAATTAAATGATAATAATGAAATACTAAATGAAAGAATTGCATATTAAAAAACAATAATTATGAATAAGTTGTTGTTATTTTGATCAATTTTGTTTATAGGCTTGTGTTATTCAGCATTGAATATTATGTTATTTTGATTGTGAAGTCATATCTATATTCCTAAACTGTGTTTTGTTGTTATTTTCTTTAAATTATGTTATTTGCTTAATATCTAATGTTATTTTACTTAAAGGCTAATGTTATTTTGGGCTAATCATCACATGTTGTTTTATTCGTTGGAAGTAGATTTGGTTTGGCAGAATTATTTCGTGTTTTCTAAAACACCATATTTTAATTTGTTTCATAAATGATGATAGTTTGTTTTAAGTCTAATGTTATTTATTTTTATCATGTGTTATTTTAATGAAATCCTAACTTTGTATTGTTTTGTTATTTTAATGTATCCTTTTATTATTCTACTTAACCTTTGAGTTAAGTTATTGTTATTTTGTTTAATATCTTATGTTATTTTTAGTAGAAGTTTAAGTTAATCGGTTATCAAGTTATGTGTTATTTTAGGTAAAACTTTGTATTACTTCGTATACAAATTGATGTTATTTTATTTAAATTCTATTGTTATTTTGTTTTAAACATGTGATATTCAAATAAACCATATCTTATGTTCTTCTATTTTAAATTAGTGTTGTTTTTAATTTACAAAAGTTGCAATTGGAAGAAAGAATTGATTGAATTCACATAAATTTAAAGAAAATAGAGGAAACAAAGTATAGCAGGAAGAAAAAGGGGGGAAACAGGGAAGAAGAAAGTGATAACAAAACAACGTCGTTTGACCCTGGAGTATCATGCTCACAGTGCTTCAGGAGTAGGGTAGTCCAGATTGTAGAGTTCACTTCATGTGCCCGTTGGGCCATTGATAAAAGTTCTGAAATACCCTCTTCGTATTTTATTACTTTCTCTATTTCTCTATGTGTGATTGTGCAGAGGAGTTTTAGGAGGTAATAGTAAAAATACTACTCCCACCGTCTCATAATACAATGCCACTTTGGGTTTTTACGCGGGAATTAAACAAGTTGAAAATTCCTTAAAACTAATTAGAACATGTGGGTTAGAGAGAGATAGTGAGAACAAAAAAATGTAGTTGGGAATAATTAAAGAGATAGTTGTAGAGAGAAAATGTTGGAAATTAATGTTAAAAGTACAAAAAAAAATGACAATTCATCTAAAAGAGGGTAATAATGTCAAAAAGTACAATCTTTAAATAGAAACAGACTTTGCATTTTGGGCTATCCAAAAATGAAAAGAGACATTGTATTATGAGACGGACAGAGTAATAAAATATGATGGAAGTGAGGTTGGTTGAATATATAAGATCTTTAAAAGCAAAAGTGAGTATAGGTGGGAAAAGAGAATGAGAAAATATTAAACATGATGTGAAGGGACCATTAGTAGGGAGGAAAACAGTAAAATATTATTAAAAGTTCTAAAAAAAAAGCAAATGAAGCAAGCAATAAAATACTACTACAAAAATAAAGTGAAGCAAGTAATAAAATATGGAGTGAGTACTAGTGAAGTTTACGCGGCAAATCTAGCCATGTCCGAGAGTTATTTTGATTTAATCTTATGTCATAAATTTTGTTTATCCCAACGATTAACCAGGACTTTCTTAGTTCAAAAAAAAAAGTCAAATAAGGGCGTGTTCTCTTCAGATTATTTTCAGTTCAGTTCAGTTCAGTTCACTTCTTAATTTTCCTCTCTCATAAAATATTCAGTTCAGTCAATCAGAATAGGCCCTAACATTAATGAGGGAAAATACGTAAACAAGCATTGTTAAGGGGTATAAATGTTCGTATACTGTTCTGAAGAATTTTCTCAACTTTTTAGAAGCTAGGGATTTGTACCCTTCGTCTACGACAATTAACACGCTTAAACTTCATATACCCAAACATTTGTTATGTCAATAAACTAGTTTAATTATTAAACTGTAATTTCCTTGAGTAATATTATTGTGTTACTTGAGGTTAACACGTGTCCACCGACATTAGGTAATATACAGTGATTCTAATTTTAACATAGTGAGATTAGTGACCTTCAATAAAATAGAGGTGATCAGTGAGCGAGACAGGCCACCTTTGATCAACTCTAAATAAAACTTATGTGGACCTAGTTTATGTACGGGGTAATATTATGTTGTACCTGAGGTCTACATGTGCCAACATATGTTATGTTAAAAGTTTTGTTTTTGGTGCAAATATGTTACGTTGAATATAGTGACCTTAATTTCAACATAGTGATCTTTATTATATATATTAACCAGCGTGTTAAAAGTCTCATTATAAATAAATAGATCTAAAATAATGACTTTTATTTAACATAATAACCTTCATTTAACATAGTGACCTGTTTTATTACTATAACGACCTTTATTTTATAATAACAACATTTAAACAAGTGACCCTAATATTTAAGGTTTTAGCCAAGTATTTGTATATAGTTTTTGTCAATAAATAACAAAACCTTGTAGGAAAATTGAAAAATTGGAACAGCGTAGGGTTAAGACTAAAAACCCTAATTGTCAATCCAATTTTAGGTGCCCATACATTCGTAATTGTGTTCTTAAATGCCTCAACATTGTATGATCTTTTCGTGAGAATCTTACCAATCAACATTAACTCTAGATTACTATCCTTTACGCTAAGATTAACTGCACCTAAGTCTATCGTTGTTCCCTCCTCCTCGTGAATTTGTAGCGCAAGAGATTTGCTAGTGGGGAGTACGACCGGAATCCGGTAGAAAAGCTATAAAAAAAAGGGAAATTCTCAATGGTACTCTTGTACTTATTTTTTTTCTCAACGGTAAACACTAACTTTTTTTTTATCTATGGTAATCAATAATTAGCTAAACTAATTCAATGGTAACTTGAGTTAAGCATTTTAGGTGAAATTAACTGTGGTTTATGTTTAAATGGGAGGGAAAAGATAAAATGACTTAAATACCCCCATTTATTATACTCAACCAATTTTGTCTTGTCAAAGGTCTGACTAAAACCTTAGAACTTTATCATCTTCATTCGAGTTCTTCATTGCTTCATCTGCAAATTCGATTCTTCCCAAAATTTGTGTCTCCAAGATCTTTGAAAAATTTAGGTTATTATCAACGATTATTTAGTCGCAATTAAATTAGGGTTTTTTATGAGGTTTGCGAATTATTGAGGGGGATCTGGATTATGCTATTGACGTTTAAATTGTGTGAATTTGGAGGAGAATTTGATTCGAAGAGGTTGCGATTGTCAGCAAGGTTCGATCTTTGGGAGAATTATACCATTTAAGGTGCGATCCTAAGTCAGATATGCATTTATTTCGATTTAATTTGTTGTATGCTCTGTTTTTGTAAATGTGTAGGGTATTAGTGAATTACTACTACTGTTGTTGTTGTTTTATTGATTAATTTTGTAGAATTAATGTTGTGATGTGTATGGTGTTAATTATAGGGGTTGTATTGTTATAATTACTTGATTATTGAACTTGATGTTGTAGGGTATTATGCTTATACATGTTTTTCTTAAATTTGCTGTAGAATGGGTGCACTAGTAGAAAAAATCAAAAAGGCACCCCCTAATTGGCACTGGTTCAGTCCAAACCCGTGCCAAAAATGGCCTTAAAATTTGGTGGGAAGTTGAACCAGGATATATGGCACCGGTTCACTTCAAACCGGTGGCAAAAACATAAAAGGACACCGGTTTGAAGTGAACCGGTGCCATTAAATATTAAAAAAAAAGGCCCATATAAAAGCCCCCAACCCTAACACATTAGCTCATTTAGCCGTTTCTCTTTCTCTCTCCTCCTCTCTTCCTCTCTTCCTCTTTCTCTCTCCTCTCCTCCTCTTTCTCGATCTCCTTCTCCGTCCTCCTTCTCCGTCCTCCTTCTATTTCTCTTCCCTCATCTCCTTCTCCCTCATCTCCTTCCAACATGCAACACCGTCCTCACTTCTTTCAATCGATTTCTTGGTATTTTTTTTATTTTATTTTGATTATTATTTTTGATTTCTGTTCATTTTTATTCGATTTTAATAGGTTTTTTTTTTCGATTTTCTGGGTTATTTTTCTTCGAATTATGGGTATTTGTTTTCGATTTCATTTTTGGGTATTTGTTTTTCGATTTCATTTCTGGGTAATTGTTTTTCGATTTCATTTTTGGATTTTGTTTTTCGATTTCAATTCTGGGTATTATTATTGTTTTTCGATTTTGATTCATTTTTCGATTATTATTTGTTTTTCGATTTTAACTAATTTTCGATTTTAATTTTTTTTGATTTTTTTTAATTTTCTGGGTTTTAATTCTTTTCGAATTTCTGGGTTTTAATTTAATTTTTTCTTCATTTTCTGGATTTTCTCGATTTTCTGGGTTTTAACTAATATTCGATTTTAATTTTTTCGATTTAATAGGTTTTAATTTTTTTTCGATTTTAATTTTTTGGATTTTTTTTATATTTTTCTGGGTTTTTAACTAATTTTCGATTTTAATTTTTTTTGGATTTTTTTTATTATTTTTTGGGTTTTAATTTTTTTCGATTTTCTGGGTTTTAATTTAATTTTTTCTTCATTTTCTGTATTTTCTAGGTTTTAACTAATTTTTGATTTTAATTTTTTCGATTTTCTGCGTTTTAATTTTTTTTCGATTTTAATTTTTTCGATTTTTTTTTAATTTCTGGGTTTTTAACTAATTTCGCAGCTAATACATTACTATTTGCTTTGCAGGCCCAAAATATTGCACATAATTGAAGAATCAAGAATCAAGAATCAAGAATATTGATTTAGATGTTTGGGTTTTTTTTATTGTGATGTTGTAATATTTTCTTTTTGATTTATATTGTAGTTCTTTTTTATTTATTTATATGTTGTAATAATTGTTTAATTTTATAATTTGTATATTGTAATTTTTTCTTGATTATATACTGTAAATTTCGGCTATATTCAATGATATTCGATTAATATGTTGTTGTTCTTATTTATTTTAGTCAATTTGATTTTTAAGTGAAAAATGACGACAACAAAAAAAAAATTGATTTTTGGGGGTTTTTTGGCACCGGTTAACCGGTGCCAAAAGCTTTGAAATAATTTTTTGTGGGCCTTTTTGGCACCGGTTAACCGGTGCCAATTTTGATTTTTGTCACCGGTTTGAACCGGTGCCTTTTTAAACCCCTTTTTGGCACCCCCCACATAGGCACCGGTTCAAACCGGTGCCTTAGGTCGGGTTTGAACTGGTGCCAAATTCATTTTTTCACGTAGTGGTGATAATGTTGTGTTACAATTTCAATATATGGGTAAGATGTGTCTGTTGTTGTTGAGGACATTGATAAGGCAAATTTGATTGATCTTATTATAGAGTACTGGGAGAAAGCAACTAAGGGCAATATGAAAACTCCAAAACACCCTACATTTGCATATGTGTTTAAAATGAAGCATGTTAGTCTTTTAAGTGATGCTGAATTAATGAAAATGTTTAGTCTTGTGCCTAAGAAGAAGGAGATATACATATGGGTAGGAACAGTTGGTAAGTATACTAAGATGGTCCAAGCTGCTAGGTCACTTATGTTAGGGAAGTCACCAACTGCTGTTGAACCTGTTGTGGCTATCAGTAAATGTAAACTCACACCTAGGAAAGGAAAGCCTAGTGTACCTGAGTTAGTAGAGGCTGAGGTTGTGTCTAAAGAAGACTTTGAGAGGCATATGATATCTGTAGGTAAACTTCCAGTGGATGACTATGATTTAGAGCAAACTGACCATGCCATTAATCAATGCATAGATGATAAAATCAATGACATTCTGGATTCACCTCATAGAGAGAATGAGAGTGATAGGGAACCTGATACTCAATTAGGGACTACAACTGGAAGAGGCAAAGGAAGAGGTAGGGGAAATGGTAGAGGGAAAGAGAGGGGCATTGCTAGAGGGAGAGGCAGGGGAGCTGGGAGAGGCAAAGGTAGGGGGGCTAACATTGAGACAGGTAGAGGGAGAGGGAGAGGGAGAGGGAGGGGAAGAAGTAGAGGTGGGGTTGGTGCAATTGACTATTGGTTTAACATTTCCCCCACTCCATGGGATCCAAACCAACCTATTGAGCAACCTATTGAAGAACTGGACACACCTACACCATCTTAGTTGTTTACACAACAAACACAGCCACCTCACCCATCAACCCAATCACTGTTGCAACATATTAAAAACATAGGAGAGTTTGCTAGGACTATAAAACTTCACATGAAAGAGAGTCTGCTGAATCTTCTAGAGTGTCAGTATTTTTTAAGAGGAGAGTTCCTAGGACTATTTCTAAGAGACATGGAGTTTTTACTAGTAGCAGTGCAAGTGGCAGTGAGCATAATGCATCTTCTGGGGTTGTTAGCAGTAGAGGGAGTTTGGCCATTAGCCTTAGGGATGATAATGACTAGACCTTGAGTGTGCAAGATGATGAAGAAGATGATGAAGGGTACAACCCACCTGAGGTTGAAGATGAAGACACTGATGAGAGTGTGGATACAGAAGATGAGAATGAGGGAGATGATTATGGTCCTTTGATTGAGGATGGCTTTGATCCATTTGAGGAGCCTGTGTTTGAATGTGAAAATGAGCACGACAACTATTTTGCAAAGTTGTACAACAATGGGGAAGTATACAAGGATGAGGGCTTTGGTAAAATTGTTTTGAAGCCATGGCAGTTGTTCACAGATAAGCAGCATTTGAGAGATGTTGTTAGGGACTATTGCATACAATGTGGTTTTGCTGTGATTGTGGACTATGCAAGCAACTTTAGGTACTCAGTCTCACACTTAGATATGAGCTGTAGTTGGAGATTACATGCATCCCTACTGCCAGATGGAACAACATGGGCTATTAAGTCCATAGAGAATTCAGAGCACACTTGCCAAGGTGTTGAGATCAGAAATTCCATGGTGGATTGCAAATGAGAAAAGAGAGTCTTATTAGATGACATCAGGGCAAATAATGACATCCCTGCATATTCATTGAATGACCTACTGTTCCAGAGATATGGGGTCAATATGGCTCAGTCCATTTATACAGAGTGAGAACACAAGCACTTGAGGAGATCCATGGCAGGCATGATGTGTCATACAAAGACCTGCCCATGTATTGTGATGTGATCAAAGAGTTAAACCCAGGGTCTTTGGCATTCTGTGCCTGGAATGATGCAAACCATCCAGAAAAGCCTTTGGCTTTTAGTAGTATATTCATTGCATTCAAAGCCTCTTTAGATGGGCTAAAAGCTGGGTGCAGAAGTCTCATAGGGGTGGATGGAGCTCATCTAAAAGGGCATTATGGTGGAGTGCTCTTTCAGCTATGGATCTAGATGGTAATAATGAGATCTTTCCAGTTGCTTGGGAAATTATGGGAGGAGAGGATGCTGAAACTTGGAAGTTCTTTTTATGGCATATGAAGAATGCTTTACAAGATAGTGGGAGAGGAGATGAGTGGTGTATAATCTTTGACAGGCAGAAGGTAATGATTTTTGTCCATTAGTGTTCATTTTATGCATATATTTCATACAAAGTAATGTAAACTAACTTGTGTCTACTATATATTATTGTTAGGTAATTGAGGTTGCAATTCAAGACTTATGGCCTAAAGTGGGTAGGAGGTACTGCTGTAAACATTTGTTGAAAAACTTCAAGCCACAGTTCCTTGGTTTGTTAATGTTCTCACTGTTCTGGTTGGCTTGTTGGGCATTTAACCCTTTCACCTTTAGAAAGGCTATGGGACGTTTGAAAAAGGCTAATCCATTGGCTTTGGAGTGATTTTCTAAACTTGGACCATAGTCAGTCTGGTCTAAACATGCATTTAATCCATCCATAAAGTCAGATGTCAACAAATCAAATTTTGTTGAAAGTTTCAACTCAACATTAGGCCTTGATAGGTATAAACCTGTTATGACATTGCTTGAAGGTAGTATATGCTTACTTGCTTTGGTTTAGTGCTTTTACTTGTATGCTTTCACTTGTAAACTCATCATGCACTTGCATATTATGCTACAACAGGTGTGAGGAGACTCACCATGGTGAGGATGGCTACTAGAAGAGAGGCATGTGAAAAATGGAGAGGTGATATCTGTCCAAACATAGTCAGAAGACTCCAAGTCATTAGCCAAGAATCAAGATCATGCAAGAGTTTAGTAAGTGGAGAAGGTGAATATGAGGTGTTGGATGGGAGATCAGTGCTGCCTGTAAATTTGAGGGCAGGGACATGTGTTTGTAATGCATGGCAGTTGACTAGCTTGCCATGTAAGCATGCCATGAGGGCCATCTTACACTCAAATGATAACCCTCATAAGTATGTCAGTGATTGTTATTCCATCACCAAGTACAAGCTGACTTATGGAAACACCATCAAGGCAATCCCTGATGTGAAGCAATGGTCACAAAGTCAGTACCCTGATATTCTCCCACCCAAGATGAAGAGAGGAATAGGCGGACCAGCAAGAAACAGAAGGAGAGAAGAGGGTGAGCAAGCCAAAGGCAAAAGATCTAAAATTGTAAGGTGCAGCGAATGCTAAACCTTTGGCCACAATGCACAGACATGTCAGGGTGGAATGACAGGAAAAGAGAAGGTTAGTTTGATAGCAACAACAGCAGAATCAAAGAAAAAGGAATCCCCTAAGAGAAAAGGTGTTTCTGTAAGCCAACCAGATCCAACACCTGCATCTTCTTCTCAACCATTAAGAACATCTCCAAGAGCAAAGAAGGCTAAGACTGGTGTGTCTGCATCCCATCCTGTTCCTTAGTTCCAGCATTCAAAACCATGTTTTTGGTTTTATTTTGAACATATTTAGTTAGTGATATCAGCTTATGTATGCTGACATGTTTTTTGGACAACATTAGTTAATGATGACATTGTTGTATGACAATTTGATGTTTTTGGATAACATTAGTTAATATGCTGATTTTGGTATCTCTCTGATACTTTGAATGTAATCAAATCAGGTCATTCACATATGTGTTATATAGCATGCAATATCTATAATTTCAATGTTGTGTATGCAAAACAAATAGAATGCAAAATAGGGGAAATTCTTGAACTTTTATTCAATATGAAAGTAGTACATAATTAGGGAATACATAAACACCTAATTGACTGAAACTAGGGCTACAACAATTACCCCTAATTACATCTTCCTAATTTCGGTTTGCAACAATAACTAGCATAATAAAGTACATAATCAGACCAATGTTAACAATTCCCTTAACATACTTCACCAATCCATCCACCTTTTCATTCGAAGCAACAATGGGACACTGTTCAACATCTAATTCTTCCCCCGACCTAATTACATCTTCCTCCTTCAGCCACGTAAAAAAATCGCAAGACCTGCACTTGTAAAACAGCCTTCGTGGGGGTTTTTCGTCGTTTCAGAAACCATGACAGCAACCACCTGAGATGGTTTGCAGTAGCAATGGACATGCTTCACCCAATCAAGCTTCTCATCAATGGTGATACCCTTAACAGAAGAAGAACGACAGAATTTCATTGAGAAACTTAGCTTAATTGCAAAGAATTGAAATACAGGGAAAATTTGATTTGGGGATTCCCGTTTCTAGGGTTTATAAAGAAAAGAATTGGGGATTTTGGTTTAGGAAGGAAAAGGGCAATCTGATTTGGAGGGAAAAGTGATTTTTAAGGGTAAATTAGTCTTTTTGACTTAAGTTAACTACAGTTAGGCTAATATTAAAGGATTAATGTCATATATTTACCATTGAATTAGTTTAGCTTATTATTGATTACCATAGATAAAAAAAAATAAAAATAAAAAAGAGTTTACCGTTGAGAAAAAAAATAAGTACAAGAGTACCATTGAGAATTTCCCAAAAAAATATAGGGTTTTATACTTTTTCTAAGAGAGAATCGTTTCTTTTAGAAAGGTTTTTTTTTTATTTTTTTATTTAACTCAGCATAATCTAGTTTCGAGAAAATTGAACAACTAATTTGCGTGTTTTTCTAAATTGCAAATAATAAATGTCGCAATAAGAATCAAGTAGAGGTTAATACGGGCGGAATTGTCATCCTAATTCAATTTCATACCACCATCCCCAAATCCTTCTGTATTATATGACGTTAGCATGCAAATGTCACGAAGTGTGAGTAGGGAGTAACCTTCACGAATTAAATCATGGTTATCTTATAAACTAATAAGACTTGTTGACGATTGCCCCTTGTCTCACTTAATGTCAATTTCACATGTGCTACAATAGGCCGACTCCTACATACAAGTATCACATGTTCTTTAGTTCTCGGATCGATTTGGGTCACTTCAAGTATTGAATGACATCCTTTCAATATGGTTGCATTTCAATCCAAATTATTTGATGGTTGGATTAGATTTCGTTTGAGTTTGGTGATCTAGTACCTTTGTAATGTTAATCTTTTTTCTTTTTCTTTTTATTTTTCTTTTTATTTTATTTTTTTTACACAATAGCAAAGAAACAAAAGTTCTATTTAAACACTAGAAAGGGTCCAACAACAGCGTCCAAGGAATCGAAATGTCATTTCCTTGGATGGCTCGTAGGTTGTCGAACAATGACAGAAAGAATGAGAACGTCATGTTTGCCCTTGGCTCGAGGCCACTTTAGCACTTCTAGGCATGCCCAAGGTTCACACTGTAATGCCGGCATGCCGCCACAGAAGCAGCTACATACTTGCCTCCTCCATGGAAAGTATAGGATTGGTCGAACCCCGTAACTGCCAGGTAGAATAACCATCTTCCTGTCTTCCTAGGTGCACACGATTGAAGCCTGGCGGTAACAATGGCTCATCACTTTGCTCATTGGCTGTATTATACTGCAGCCCCGGTCATCTGATTGAACACTTCATATGTTTACTAGTATGGAGTCATAAGTATTTAGTTTGGGGATTTTAGAAGTCATTTTGGACATTAATTAACTTATCAAAAAATATTTGTCGAATCCATTGTCGAACTGGTACACATACAATTTCGATTCCAAAGACCCCAAAAGCTAAAGTTCCAGCAATAGTAGACATAGTCCCTTTTACTAGAGGAGATATTTCATAGCCACTTCTTAATTGCATTTCATCTGTGTTCTCAATTGGATATATCCTCCTTAAAGCTAAGAACACAGACATGAAAATTATGCAGCCAATAACCCAACTGAGAGATTTCACTGTTCGACTCACTAAATTACATATAGCCTCAAAAAGAACTAGACCGAATAAGTTATTGTACAAAATATAAAATCGGTATAAAATCAACTCTCACTGGTGGTATCGTTTATAGTTCCACTTCTTCATAATAAACTGCACTCTTGAAACCTCAAACTAAACCAGCTTCCTTAAGAGCTGCTTCAAAGTCTGCCTCACTTCTAAAATCAGGCACCTGCACGAGGTAACATGACATGTAAGTAAATGCCTCAATACTTCAACGTAACGAAATAAAACTAATTCACCATAGATAGAAGTTGAAAAGACAGGGAAGGAAGGGGTGTGTGCAAAGCCAGCCACCTCTTGCTCTTATATGAAGAAAGTGTTAATGTACAAGTAGAATAGATAACATACATCATCCATAACAAGGAGAGAATTTCCACATTAATTATGTTTTACAGCGTGTAAATGGGACTAGTAATAAAAGGATACCATCAACATCATTATTTCCCAATTTAAAAAATGAATATAAATCACCCTTAATATATGAGCACTTGCCATCCATGCCAAGTAGCAGTGTAGCACCATTAGAGATACCGAGATATGTATACAGATACAAATAGGGACAAAAAAAAGGGCAAAATCAAGATTTTAATGTACGACATGAATATTTCCAACAAAAAAATGAAATTACATATTTGAAAACACACATTACTACCAATCTAATAAGACCCCATTTGATACTACTTACGTTTCAAATTAAATGACACGTATTCCTTTTTGGGAAATTCCTTTTGAAATGACACAAAAATTTCCATGTATATTAATAATTATGGTTTGTGAACTTGAAATATTGTGAAAACATTGGAGCAAAATTTCAACCAAAATCTTGAATACAAAAATATAAAATATGATATTATAATTACCTCAACTACTTTAGTTCCAAAATGATTCTCAATCTTCTCCATAATCATATTGTCTGTTTCATTACAAATCAAATTGAATACTGCGCCTGCAATATAGATAAAATAATAGCCATATGCTTTGAATTAGCCCCATAGTTAAATCAATATCCAACCAGAAGTTTCACACCATATCCATCACAAGTGGAAGATGGTATAAATATGACCACAGTAACAATTATACATCCAACAATCAACAGGATTTATTTTGCTGTGACAAATTGAACCTTATTAAATCCATACATAATAAGACTGCACATTAAAGAAAACAAGCTCATACACAAAACCCTGAAAAATAACAATAGAGACACAAGTACATTTAAAGCAATGAAGGAGCATGAGGAAAAACATATTACAAACGTACCTTTACGCCCAAAACGTCCTGCTCGTCCTACTCTATGCAAATATACCTCACAGTCAGGCTCTTTCTGATCATCATATTTCACTGGAAGATCATAGTTAACCACCAAGTTGACCTACACCATGGAATAAATAAGAACCCTACATGACATGGTGCATAAAGACAACAAAATATAAGATAAATATATATAACACCACTCACCTGTGACTGGTCAAAGCCTCTAGCAAGAACATCAGTGGATATCAGCACTTTAGTTAACCCGTCTTTGAACTCTTTCACTATTTTATCTCTGTCTTCGTGAATAAGAGCACCTTGAATTGTAGTA